TTTTTAGTTTTTCGACTTAAAGTAACAATTTTATTGTATTTAAAAAACAATATTTCATTCAAAGAGATAATCATTACTTTAAATATAAAATTTTTGTGCAATTCTTACTTTGATATAAATATTATATATGTTTATAAAATTGCAAAAAATGCAAATTATATATAAAAGAATATATATTTGAAATACAAATTAAAATACTTATTGAATATCTATGTAATGAATCAAATCGTTGCTCATGTCATGCATTAGAATCAGTATTTAATTCATCTCTCATTCCAAACAAATTATTTATTTTAATACAAAACTTATTAAAATAATAGCTTTTTATCGATTCATCGCTAAATGTCAAAAATCTTAAGTTATCTTAAATTGATTTCAAAATTTTTAAAATAAAATATTTGTTGTTTTTATAGTCGAGTTGTCATTATTGGAACCAATTATGTACTCATTTCAACTTTATTGTGCATTTTATTGCTATTATTTATAATGTGCTATAATTAGTGTTATATTTTATTATATAATTTATTATGCAATTTATTAATCATAAAGAATATGTAAACACAATATGATAAGTTAGTCTATTATTTATATAATATTTACACAATTCCCATATTGAATACCAGAATCCTATTCACTATTGAAGTTATGCTTAAGAATTATTTCACAAATCATTTTCGATCATTTATTTTTAGCCTCAATTTGTAATGAAAATGTTTTGGCAGTTGAGTTCGGCCATCAAATCGGGTAACAGTAGACTAGAGGTATTACCAGATCACAACTCTTACAAATAACCATGATTCAATTCACTATTGACAATTTAATACAAACAAACCATATTATAAGAGTGATTAATTTGATTATAATTCTCGTCAGCATAACTTTGTATAATTACTTATCCAATGAGCTAAAGATCTTAAGAGTTATAAAGTTTTTCAAAATGGGTATTACGTTAAGTATTTATAAACATTTATTAATAAAAATATATAATTGACAATAATTTCTAAATGAGACGCTTTTATGAGCTTATCTTTTAAAAGTTTGCTTTCATTTATCAGTGTTTGGTCTGAAAACACGATATCTCAGCAAAATTTGATTTAATACTGACCTTTACTTGTGATAAGAAATTTTAGATTTCAATTATAAAATCAGTTTTAAACACATGTTTCTCATTGTGTTTAAGTTATATAATCAATTAAATAGTGATTTATTTAATAAATCTTAAATAATCAAATTATTTACAAATTGAAATCTGAATAATCTCTGTAATAATTGTGTAAATTTCTTTGTAATTATACAAAATATGAATAATTTGGAAATGAATCGCATAAATGGTGAATGTGTTGAACAAAATGTGAATGCAATCCGAATCAATAATTATAAGAAATTTTGTAAATGTTTAGCAATCATAACATCGGTTACAACCGTTTCATTGATTGCATTTCATGGCAGCTATTTCTTAGCCAAACATAAAGACAATCATTTGAACGCGAGTTTTGATTCACATTTTGTTGAGCAAAATGTGCGACAAATACAGAAATCAGGAAATGCAACGGTTATTGTCTATGACTTGAATACAAACCATAATCTCAACTTATATGTCGGTCTAAACAATCACTTTATGGCACTCATACCGGCAAATAAGACAACAGACAACCAAACACTGGTATACAAGACAAGTGAAGCCATCGATGATCAACGAGTTCTCAAACTAGAAGTGGTCACTAAATCATTAGACAAAAACATAATCGGTTTGATTAAAATCAAAGATATCATAAGTGGGCAACAGTTTAATGACTTAATTCTAGTCAATTCTGGTGTTTATTCGTTAAAATTGCGATTTCTTTGGGCATAAAATTCATTGTGACTCCAATAATATCAATACTCAATCGCGCATATCATGTGTTAAATACAAATTGTTTTAAATTTTACAAATTCTATTGATTTTACAATTTAAGCATAAATAAAATTAAGTATTAAAAACTAAGTATGATTTAAGTAAAACATTATTTACAATTCAAATTAATTATGAAAATGAGTTAATGACTAATAAATAACGCCAAAGTTAGTCCTCATCGGACGATAAGAAATTCTTGGCATTCGTGTGAGTTATTTGTGAATTTGCTTTTGAAATACACTCCGAAAGCTGTACTGTTGCCACAAAATCATCCACTGTTTCAGTGATAATTCCGCTCTTAGTATAAGTGATACTCTTTCGTGGCCTCAAGTTATAAGATCGGGGACTTATTGTAAGCTCAGGACTGTTAACGGCAACTAAATTCTCATTATTTTCTACTCTCATTTCATTATTATCATTGGCTTTAGTAGTACTCGAAGACACGACCACATCGACCGTAGAACAGGTCTCGAAGGAGATATCGCTGATCTCACTTTCATCGCTACTATTGCCAGAATCGGCTGTAAAATCGCTGTCACTATCGGATGAATACTCGCGTCGTGTTGTGTCCACACTTTGCACTGCTTTTTGAGGCGAAAATTCAGCTAAAAAAACGAGATTAAAAATTATAAGAAATGATTGAAAAAAAAACATTACTTTTATTTAATTGAATACCAATTTTGCTGATTTGATTCAATTGGTTCTGAATGTGGTTTAAACGCAAAGTGTGTTCATTAAGGATACTGTGGTTAACGTAACCGTAGTTCTT